TACTTTTAATGTGAACGTGCTACAGTAGAAAGAATTCGCTGCGAATTCCTTTCCAAATAACTTACATGTGCATTTTGAGCCTCCTCTGTTTGCTGCACATGGGCTGATATAACGGTCACCGTGGAGTCACTCTGGTCGCTGGAATACTGCTGATCATGCCTTCTTCGACAAAAATATAATAAATACACATGTCATTAAAGGACGAATTCACGATGAAAAAGCAACCCATTTCAAATTAACCTAGGGATGGTGAGTGGTACACGAAAGAAGGAAGAACCATGAGAAACGGCCCAGAACCCGAGAAATGGGACCCCTTCCTTGCCCGTTGATTTGAGCATTGATGCGACTCTCATCGCTGTGCCCTCTTCAACACTACGCTCTCTCAGCTATCTAATCACTCGCCACGTATTGAACTACGGCGAGTGATCAGATGATCGGTGGGCGGAGATCGCCGGACCCGCCAGCTTTGAGGCATGATAGGTCGCCGAGGTCAAATTTTTCCATGCGAATTGCGCGTCAGTTCGCACCCTCAGGAGGTCCGTGGGTCCCTCAACTAGGTCAGTTTCCCTTTCTTCGACCTTCATTCTAATCGTGAATTCCTCCTTTAAGTATAATTGTAATTAAAAATATGAATGTTAAATAGATTTTCACTATTCTCACTTTCATGCAGCTCTTAAATTTAATTACAATGAAACTCGACGCTCATAAAGAAGCTCGAACTCATAGACTCCGCCCATTCCGATGCCCATAACGCAGCCCTAGCAAATTAAAAAAAGTGGGGAGCCCTTGTGATGCCAGTAACAGGCATTAAAGGACTTTTGTAAATTAGAACAGACATGAAGTTCCCTTATGTCTCAAAATTACTCAGATAACCGAAGGATTTTTTGAGGGCTGCAGCACCTTTACTCCTTAGCTCTGAGTACCTTTTTGTGATTCTTGTATTTGAATTTTTCCTTCAGATCATCGAAAGATTATGCAAAAATTAGGCCATATTGGGTTTGCACCAAAAATCCTAACTGAAAGTTGTCATAGTTGCTCCCATAAAAACGAATGCAAGTTAATCCCTAAATTAGACAGAACTTCACAAAAAAAACAGCGATTAGAAAAAATGTCGCTACCCATTATTTCCATCAAAAAACTTTTTCAGATAAAGTTATCATTTGGTCGTTAATTTGGGCAGCGCGGTTCCAGAATAAAAAGTGATATTAAATAATTAAGAATTGACTTCATGATGTAATAAAACTGCTGGCTAAGTTCTATTTTGCTACTGCCAAATACCAATTAATGTAATTTCATGTTTCTGACTCTCACAGATGTTCCATTTTTCCTGCTCAAAAATATGCGACAAGCGCGCTGGGAACGTGCAAAAGCCGCTTCGACCGCTTCAATTGGTCCTCGTCCGCAGCATACAGATGTCTGGCGCTCTCCCGTCTGTTGCGCTCTATCACCTATATTTTGCTCTCCGTGAGCGATTGGCTTTAGCGCAGCCGAAGCGAGTATAACCCCTTAAGCTTTGCGTTTTCGACAGATTCTTCCTCATTTTTTTCTGCAGGCAACTTCCCCCCAAAGCTTTCGTTTTCGAGAGGATTTTTTTCGCTGTGCGAGAATCCCACCGACTTCGGTTTGGGGCGTACCTTAACCAAATCAAGCATTGACAAATAAGTACATACCTGCCACCATATCCATGCCCATACTCCTTATGCGATTCGCTCTTCTGTACAACCGTTTCCATCGATGGTAGGTCATAGCTCTGCAACAAAGCACTTTCCTAAATTGCAACTGGAAAAAAACCAACCAGTACCTGTTCGTGAGTTTGGTTTGACAAACTAGAGCGAATTGAGGCCGAAGGAGCTCCAGATATGGCAGATGTGGCCTAGAATTTGTATAACAGTTTTTCGAATTGATCTTCACCTCCAGTAAAGGCTCGAGGTTTCCCTATAGTTAACTTACTGTGTTTCTCCTGTCATCAATATCAATATCGAAATGGTAATGTTCCTGAAATTTCACTGGTTTCGTAGTATTCAATGAAACCAGAGTTCAATAGTGGTGGTCTGGAAACATTTCACCGCAAGTTACAGTCGCTACAGTAGAATTCGGGTGCGAAATCAAGAAGTCGTTCATCGAGACCGGTATGCTTGGTTTCTTTTGTCGAAAGCAGACTTTGTGAGGTAGGCCGGGCCATGCATAGCCACGGTTGAGGACTTCCTCGACCATGGCTATGCATGGCTCTGTACTGTGCGAGAGTAGTGCCGAGAGTGAACGTACGCGCGGAGAGCACAGACGGCTCGCGCATGGCGAGTGTGAATGTCCGCGCGGGAGAGCGTAACTGATCAGGCGAAAATCCTCGACGTGCCGTTGAGGAATCCTCGACCGATATTCACCCTCATTGGAGTATGTATGATGGCTGCGGATCAGATATATCAGTGTTTTGTGGTAAGCGCTTTCGCTAGCGAAACTCCCATTTTACTATTCCACCACGGAAGACAGCTTCTTGGCCGCACATTTTGATAGAGCGTTGTTGTGTGATTGCTACCTCCCATTAGGACCAGCATGGTTGTTTGGAGCGGGACAAATTATGTTTTCTAGACTTTCATGATTCATAGAAATACAGATTCTAGAACCACTGTTATCCTAGAAGACCAAAATCATCAGTACAGTGCAATTATGTATTCTGCCTTACCGTATTTCCGTGGAAAGCATCGCCCCTTTCCACGTGTTTCTCTGCGTGAATGTGATGGCCGGAGGAATGATGCGTTTCAACAATGTGGGACTCAGTGACTCGGGTCTCTTCGTGATGGCCGGATAAATGATGACTTTCGAAATGGGATTCGCTTGACGTGATGACCATATCGCCATCCTGCTTCACTTGTGTTGGTGCCAGATGAATCGGTGCAGAGAACACCAACGCCAGAAGATCTTAAGAGGTTTATTAGAAAAGAGATAAATAGTGAAAGTCCTCAGAGAAGTAATTCCATGCACTTCTACGCTCAGATTTTACATCTGAGTGTAGCGAAATGATGGGTGCTAAATATGTCAATCTTATCCTGCAATGGTAGCTCATGGTTGGGTGTTTACCGCCCTCAGGTGTGGGTATCTAAACCAAATGAAAGCAAATTTGTAGCCGGCAGGCAAGAGAGGACCCTAAACTGTTAGGATTCCATGGAATGTATAATACATTTCACTTTACAGTATGGGCGAGATTCAGTTAAACCTCAGGCGTCTTTCTCATTCGTCTTTCTCCCTAAGTACTGTAAAGAGGAAGAGCCCTTCATCGTGGAGTGCGGCGTGGCTGGAAATAACCTTCAGCGTGAAAACCGCTCCAAGAACTTGAGCAGCTTCGTCTACTCCTTTCGTTCATGTATAATCAGGCGCTCATGTCCCTAGGGGAGACATTAAAAACAGAACTTCCGAAAACCGCTGGCAGGACTGAGCCCAGGATTGGGAATAAACACCAGGGAGAACAATTGTTGCTTTCCCAGAATCCTGTCTCCTCCCTAAGGCTTAGTCCCGAGCATCATAGTGGTCCACTCCCTTTCATGTCCCCAACCCCCCCCCCAAGGTTATGAGCGCCTATAATCAATTGCCATATACGCTTCCGGCACATGAGCCCATAGCACGGTAACCCCAGAATGAGCCCTTGGGTGAGTCAAGCCGTTGTAAAGGAAAGTAGGAGGGAAATTGATAAGGGCTAACCGTGATCAAATAACTATGTGAAGAGTTTCGAAAATTTGTTTACCTGGCTCCATTTTGACCCCCTCAAACCACAGGGCAACTAGGAATTGCAACAAGTAAAGCTATTTCTGAGAGAAAGATTTTGCAAACTGCAAGCCACGAATGGTGGGAAATAGTGTTTTTGCTTCGGAGCCTTCAGAGGGCTGGACTGATCGCTCAAGAGATACTGTCCAGAAATGATAGGAAATCGATGGTTTTGCTTTCCATTTGTTACCCCATGAACATTATGAATAAGCCATAATAATAGTCCACATTTCACAGTTTTCAACGACATAACATTGAACACTTTCAAAGTAAATATTTGTAATTTGGGAAAAATTCGATAGCGATTCCAACTCACCATCGCTGTCCTGAGTCATTTTACCCGTTCGGCTTGGTGTGACCACTGAAAGAATACATACGTTTTACTATCTGCGGGAAAATCTTCGTCGGAAGCCCAATTTCGAAAACTTAGACTGGTTATGGAACAAGAGTAAGCAGTCCCGTAAAGAACGGCAGAAGTGTATGAAATTTAGAGAGAACTGATTAACGCCTTATCAGCAATGTGGCGAAACGCCATGCGCATCTCGCGTTAGGTCTACACGTATTCAGTAGTACCATCGGAGAAGTGACGACCGAAGGAGCTGCAGTCGGCCTTCACTTGTGCACATTGAAAATTGCTGCAGATGCGGTGTATTGAAGAATGGTGAGGAGAAAAGTTCAGCTTCGCTCTAATTTAGCTCATCTACTTCGCTCGATATCGGCGCTTCTCATATTTGTACCACACTTTCAAGAAAATATGAAGCACTAGGTGGAAGTATAAATGGGGACCTCTGGAACAACCGTCGAGAAGTAAGATCAGCAAGAAGGGATGACTCTCTTCATCATATTGCGATAGTTCTTAAAGGGCTAAAGTCAACAGTACGCTCAGAGCGGGGTGAGAGCTATGAGACTCGAATGAAGGACACATTCGCTCGCTTCAGGTGTCGTTCCCAGCCAGATAAGAGGAGCGGCACTGTCGTCAACGTTGCGATAAATGTTGGCAGCCGTTCTATGCCTTCAGAGAAGTGATAGGGAGATAGGAATCGTCGACACATAACCCTCTTACCGTGCTTTTTCTTGAGGCTCACTAAAGATGTGGCAATGCATTTGTGCAAAAGGCATTCACGACGAGAGTTATTGCACGATCACCAAAAGCAAGGCCGAAGGTAGGCCGTTTGCAAGGGAACCTATGCCAAAGACGGTTCATGAAGAGCTGCCAAATGTAAAATGTGAATGGTATGCTCAAAATGAAGGAGCAAAAGAAGAAGCTGGGACGAAGGCGAGTTTACGGGTGCGGCCCGAAGCGTTACATTCGCCCGAAGTTGTCTTATCAGAGAGCAGCGAGTTGTGACGTGGCCGCCACAAAGCATAGCCCACGAAAAACCATTTCTTGATCGTTTGTCTCAGAGTGACGACGAAATGCTAGGCTTGCATGCACAATGTAATTTTATAAACTGCTATGGTAGTGCCGCCACAGAATGCAGCTGTATTACGGTAACAGTACCGATTGCCGAAGCTCTACAAATGGGTTTGAGAAGTAGCGATCTAGGTATTCAACGCTTTCCAGAGACCGAAAACTCGGCTAAATAAAGCTTATAAGATGTTGCTGCTATGAAAATACGAAAAATTAGATCCGAGCTGTGTTAAAGAGCTAACATGTTATTAAAGTAGGGAATCAATATATTTTCACATTAAAATATTCTCATAGTCAAAACTTTTTATCTCTTTGAACGTAGATGTGAGCAGTAATAAAGGAAGATATGTAAACATAGTAATAAAACCACATAAAAAGTCGGAATCACGTACCAAACACCGCAATGTTCCAGAAAACTTCGCACGTTCGTATTGAGATGGTTAAATGCTTTTTTAAGGCAGTCAGCTTTGAGGCTCCAAGTGATTTTTCCACGGTAATTAAACATTATCATTTTTGACTTGTTTTTATTGACGAACATCTGTTTAAGGCCACAGTTTGCGGAAAGTTATCACAGGAATATTGGGTTGGGGGCAAAACTTTCAAAATATCAACAAAAATAATAAAATATTTTGTCGTCCATTTAGATGACTTTGGACTTAACTTAGACTAAACTACTCCTTGAGTCCGACCCCACATTAATTTTAAAAAAGCACACATCATAATATATGAAAATCAATAATTTTATTGCAATAAGTTCTTTCCGGTGGACACTACAACTCCGAAGGGGCGTCGGTGCAGGAGCAAGTGTGGCAGCATACATTGACGAACGTTGATCTGTAGCAACTGCCAGAACTGATGCAATAACTTCATTGTCGTGTTCTATAAAACTATCAAAGAGTTACACATGAGTACTGAAATGCAAAAAGTATGGAACGCAATTATAAATGAAAAATCTGTGATACATTCAACATTGATAAATCCTGCTCGTAGGTGCGCCAAATATTCCACTTCCATTGCCAATCCTAGTGGCACTGCATACGAGTGGCCTAGAATAGACTTACTGAAAGCATTTGAATGACCACTGTGCAATTGACTTACATATCTTTGCAGACGAGTCGAGTATCAGCTGGAACCGCAGGAATGGAAAGCCATTAGCCAAAGCAAGATTCGAGCCGCTCTGGTTAGCGAGGCGCCTTTTCTTCCGGCTCCTCAACTGATACCGAAAATAGGCTTACATGAGAGATGGATAGGTAGAGGTGGTTCACAAGCGAGCGGTGCACCCACTCGAACCACCTCTAAGATTACGGTATCGTACCGAAATAGTTCGGAAGTCGGCTTTCTGAGGCTTACGAGACCATCCATGTTAAAAGAGAGTAATTTTCAGGGCTTGCAGCGCCAGTATTCCGTAAGAAGCACGCTCATAGAGCCATCCTTGGGCAGCAGCCCTGCCAAAACTTCAGGAAGACACTCTTCTGCACAAGTGCCTTGCCGCGCCTGTGCATAGATCTTCGTTCAGGAAATGTCAAACATACAAGTTATTACTTTACAAAAGCAAAATTTAGTAAGCTAAGCAACGAGCATGGGCACTACGCGCTCAGCGAATCTTGGTGTCCGAGATAAATAGATATACGAATAGGGTCCGCCTTGAAGAGTTTCAGCTAGAGAAGTGCGCACTGTTGCACATCTATGTAGGAGTATAGTGGTTCCGCAATCGAGTGAGCGTCCGGAGCAGTAAAATCGGCAAAAGGCGTCCCCAGTTAGATCAGTGTAACGCACTGCTTGTGCCCCAACCGGGTGTCCCCCAAGAGGCCCTTCGCGCGGCGAAGGAAGAGACGCAGATGCGGCAAAGGACGAGTCGCAGCGCGTGCTGTGCGATATGAGACGTAGTATGGTACACTCTATTTAACCTGACGCCTAACCGCTACAGTATGCGCTGCGACTCGTCCTTTGCCGCGTCTGCGTCTCTTCCTTCGCCGCGCGACGGGCCTCTTGGGGGACACCCGCCCCAACCTTATCCTACCCGCGCGCAACCACTAAAACGGTGGTAGTTGGCCTCAACGCCAAAAACGACTGCTCTGTTCTTGACCGGTAGCATCAATAACGCCTGTTTGTGATTTTTTGGGGTGGAAGGTGAGTAGTGGCAAGTAGCGCTGCTTACCAAGCGCATGTCCTGTTATCAAATCCTTGGTCCAGGTCAACCAAGCACTCTATCTCTACGAAGTTGATTACTTGGTGAGGTCTTCCCTGAACACTGACTTTCACATCGATTGTCCCCTGCAAACCATTGTATAGGCCAAACCGCATCCATTATGCCCCTTTCTAAATGGAAGTGGGATGCGTGGCGCATCTCGCCAAAAAACTGATCAATACCGAAACACATATTATTTATCCTTTCATGTAAGTTTCTACCGATAAGGTGGAACAGCACCTTATCGGTAAAACTTACATGGATCACGAGCTTGGTCCAACACGGCGCCAGCGCCGAAATAAACATCGTAACTAGCATCACCAGCTACCTCAGCTGCTTAAAGCCTTCTTTAAAAGCTGGTCAGCCACCGTGAACTGAAAATGTCGCGAATGGTCAAACAGAAGCAGTCACTCAGGCTTTTGTTGTCATTAGCTTCAGTAATGCCACCTCTTCTGCCTGACTCTTCAAATGGAAGAATTCCACATCTAATTTTAAAGTCCAGCCTTGCTCCTTACTCTGTCCCCGAACATAATACGGTTAACTTCCGGCAGTCACAGGTGCCCAAGTCCTCTAGGCCGTGTGTGGTCGACGACGCGATGGATCCCGGGACGAACTCCCTGGCCTATTCCCGTCTTACTGTAGGTGGCGCGGCACATTTAACCCATGGGGTGGTTTCGAAAATTTACCGCGTCATATCGTCATTTATTCTTTATGTACTGCTGGGATGTTTGCTGTCTCGTCTCTGAACATTCTCAAACAATACGGAATTGCAACAGTGCAACTTCTTCCATTCTAGAACGTTGGATGAAGGTGCAAACTTCTTCAAGTGTGGTCATTCACATGCATTTGGAGGTGAAGATTTGTTCTAGTTCATTTGTGTCGACGGACCTAAACTCGATTCAGGTCTAAGTTAGGGGGGGAGGCATCATGATACA